GTGGCACAGCCATCATCTGCTCTCTGCTAATTGCCCCTCTGCCCCACAGGAGGCCGGCTCTATCTGCCCGGGACCCCTCAGGGATTTATACTGGGCATGTTTTACTTCTGTACAGCGGAGGATGATTGATCGGTTCAGAAAAGCGTTCAGTGGGTTCAGCGTTTTGTGAGGGTGTTGGCCAGCGTGTCAGAAGCCACTCTTAAACGGCCAGTTTTTCTCTGTCTTCCATTTGCACGAGTTATACAAAGTAGTCATATATTTTGTCAAGGAATACGTATCATTTAGAATTTAATTAACATATTCAGTTGCATAAAATTATCAACTTTTTTAACCAAGCAGTGGATGATTGATCGATTCAGAAAAGTGTTCAGTGGGTTTTTGTGAGGGTGTTGGTCATGAAACTGAGTGTCAGAAGCGGCCGGTTTTCTCTGTCTCTTATTCACACGAGTTATACAAAGTACTCGTATATTTTTTTCAAGGTAGTAATGAGGAAGTCAAGTCAAAGTCAACTTTATTGTCAATCTTTCAGTTTGTGTGTGCAGACAGAGAGATCGAAATACCGTTTCCCACGATCCCAAACACAAAAACAAATATATAAAAATACGTATGTAAATATGTATATCCTATATATACACAATCAACAGACACATTTATACACATGCCCACATTAAGACCTATTAAAAGCACAACAATCAATATATACAAAATAACAGTCACTTCAATATCTATATTGAGAATGTACATTAGTGCAAGACTGTCCATAGCAGCGTAAAAAGAGTCTGGTGCTGGATTTGAATACGTATCATTTAGCCTTTAATTAACATGTTTAGTTCCATGGAAATATCTGTTCTTTTTTTTCACGAAACTGTGTCTCAGGGCTTCTTAACATGTAATAAACTATGAATGTGTCATACCCACTTAACAGGAATAAACTCAGCTAACTGACGATACGAACCATTTTTACCGAAACAAAACACAAGTCTCACAAGAAGCGTCTAAATGAGGCCTGATTGGAAAAATGCTAACGCACTTAGCACAGAACTCACGGTAGAAATACTTTATTACTTATCGGATCTGCACAAACAAGATATCAGCGAGCAAGCTGAGATTCCACAGATACTAGAAGTATAAGTATCATCAGTGAGCGATCAGAACTCGCGCCAGGGGAAGCAAACCCAGACATCACACAACGTGGCTTTACGGAGCAAAAACGGGACATAGTCTTACCTTTGCTGTTGTTCTGATCAAAAGTTGTGTTCAATGGCATTAAAACGATAAAAACGCTGCTGAAGGTTAATCCATAGGTTAATCAATGTGTCTGTCACTTTGAAATGATTACTGATAATCCATCTTCATATTTACGTCAATAACGGAGATTTCCTATTAGCTGCTACGAGAGTGTATGACAACTTCCTGTTTTGGGCATTCTGGCTACGCATCACTCATTCACCAATGGGTAATGTTTAGATGGATTTTAGGAACTTCCCCTCGATCCTATTGGCTCTAACGGTTAAAAAGAGGTGTCAATCATCAAAATCGACCAATGGGTTCCAGAGATATGGAAAATCCACCCAAATGACCCCAGAAGTGGGTTTTCTTTCTAAATCTGTCTAAAAAGGTCAAATTTCACTTGTTTTGCATCAATCTTGATACAGGGTACTTACTATATGTTATAGTTTGGATTCTTTTAGTCTACCATTCCATCACTCAAGGTTAGTTTTCACTTTAAGTAATGTTTTCTTTTGGACGGACACAATAATTTACATTTTTTTATTATGTTCAATCTGAATTGTCTTTAAAATAAAAACATCTATATTGATTCTGACTTCTCTACATCCAACTCACAGGTTTATCATTACTTTGAGAAAAAAGATTATTAATTTACCCCTTTTTGAAGTGAAGTTATGGTCATTTGTTCTGGGAATGTCATTTTCGAGCCTGACACACAGGCTCAGGGGTTAACAGGTAAAGCAAGCGGGTGGTTTTCCCCCTTCTGTTTGTTTCATAAAAGAATACACATCTGACAGAACAAAGGTGTTATTGTTCTCTTCTTCCACCTCTCAACTGTTCACCTCGCACCCAAACGTTGTCCCTCTGTTGGTTTATCCAGGCACTGTCACACCCTCAATTTAATTAATTTAATAAAAAAACTGTTAAAAATACAAGTGAATTAATATGAATATATGCAAAGTGAAACCCTAATAAGCAGCTGAAACTTTAGAATAGGGTCTTTGACATTAAAACAGAAAGTATTAAATATTTAGATTACTAATCAATAATTGGAGATTATACAGAAACTTTTATCCAAAAACCTTTACATGAACTCAAAAACTGAGCTAATCTACAACTAAAAAGTCCCGAAGCACAATATATTTTTTTATGAGTTCAGTGTATTTGTCTTCATATATTTAGGAAACTATAAATTGAAAACATATTGTGCGGTTGTGAATAAGACACCCTAAGGAAGTTGTTCAATCTGGGCAGAGCTCTTATTATGATATATTAAAAACTGCTCTTAATGATGGAACAATTCCAATAACAACAGAAGGAATATAAATATATATTCTTTATGTATTTCCCTCTCTGCCATTATCTCCGGGTGCATGAGTTAAAGAAGTTACTGTAAATCCTCCAGTGTTTTCATCTCTGCGCGATAATTAAAGTGTCCCATGTGGATGTTTGAGGGCCGCACATCTCTCGCAGATTTACAGGAGAACCGATAAGGAGTCGGAGAGGCGGGAACACACCGTCATATTTACATCGCAGACAAATGACATGCTAAGGATTCATACTCCTGGTGTCTCGATCACCCACATGACTTGTGAGGGTCAGAGTCAAAGAGTCCTCAGAGTATTCCTGTGGCGATTAAATATAACGCAGGGAATTTGAAAGGCACAGAGTGTTTCTCAACAAAACAGTAAATTACACGGAGGAGTAGAGGACAATATTTTAAGAGGGTGACGTGAAAAAAGAGATGAATTCCTGGAAGAGAGGGATTTCTAGACACAAGGACAGACAGACACACACACACACATACCATGTATACATCACTTCAGGGGACATTACATTGACTTACATGCATTTCCTGGAGACTTATCCTAACCTTAACCATAACCAACACATGCCTAACCCTAACCTAACCAAGTCTTCACCCTAAAATTAATAATTCCCCTCTTGGGGGCCTCCATTTTGTCCCCATAAGGGAGGTGAGTCCCCACACGTGACTGTGTAAACAGATTTAGGTCCCCGTGAGTATAGTAATGCTAGGCCACACACACACACACACACACACACACACACACACACACACACACACACACACACACACACACACACACACACACACACACACACACACACACCCAGGTGGGCGGAGACGGTGTGTTGAGAGGTTGAACATGGATCTGAATAATTCAACAGGCTCTGGATCAGTCGCCACTCTTCTCCGTTAGAGAGGAGGCCCCACAGTGGCCGCTGTCAGACTCTGAGCTCACCGGTTCTCATGTCAGCGTCCTGTTGCTTTACCATTTCACGAGACCCCCATTTGACAAGATATCTTTTTTTTATCCCGTTCACGCTGTTTTCCACCCTTTTGGTCTCTTAGCGTCGTCCTCTGTCTCTCAGGTTCCCACGGTTACTTATTTATAATCTTTCCTCTTCCTCACTCAGTCTCCTCTTCTCTCTGCAGGGCAGTCGGACTAAACCATTGTGCCGTATATTGTCTGACTTTTCTAAATGAATACCTGCTGAAGCTGAATGAGTCTGTTAATTATAAAAGACATTAAGAGAGTGGGTTGAGTCTATTGAAAATGAGAGGCAATAGTATTTTCCACGAATGTCCGTTTGTTGCCCTTTGTCAGCAGCTTATTGCTCTGAGGGGAGCGATGGGTTTTATGCTTCCTGCCGCAGCAGCAGTTTGTTTGGAGTCAACACAATGAAAGCTGTTTAGTTAATATGAACAGAGACAGATTATTTGTATAGCGGAGCCTTTCAAACGGGGAATAGTCGTAAATAAACACAGCAATACAGTAGCCGCCCGGCAACAATGATTGGAATAGTTATACACAGGGTTGGGAGGGTCACCTTATTAATCAGTAACCTAATCTGTTTTCAAAATAAGAAAGTAGTGTAATCTGATTACTTTTGGATTATCTCAATGTGCTTAACACAGAGTACTGAAAAAACTGAACCGTTGAGTTTAATCAAATGCATTAAGTCAACACATTTCACATAACTGTATCAGGTTACTAGAAAGCAATAATATTAAGTTAAACCTAATTATTGCTTTCAACTAATATATATAACTTAATACAGTTCTGTGGAATTTGTTGACAAAATACATTTACTGAAAGTCAACGTTTCAGTTTTTTCAGTGTATGTTGTTCTTTATCTTACGTAGACACATCGCAATGTGTATGTTAATAGGATGATCTTTGTGACATAAGGCTGTCTTCCTGTAGCCAGCAGGTGGCGCTATGACTGTCTCAATGTTGACCTGTAAAAGTCCTTAGGCTGGGACTGTTATCAAGATATCTGGAGCAGTTTGGAAACAGTACTCTTCAGGTATAACCATGTAACAGAAAGCTTTTAACACTAGAACCGCCAACGGGTACATTTTACCCGCAGCTGTTTTTTGATTGTATGTAACTTTTTTTCAATAAAATATTAAAGTCTCCCAGTCCGTGACTTTTCCTGAAAGTGTGTTATGTAACACCCTGTGTTGTTAAAAATGGTCAATATGAAAAGTCAGATTGAAAAAAATCGCCAAAAAAATGGCTATTTATACCTATTTCCGCCAGCGGGTAATATTTACCTCATAGAAATGCAGCGCTCCTCGCGCTATTGATTTCGCGCGTAAACATAAACATGACGTGTTGCTATAGCAACGCGTTTGTCTACTGCTGTAGATAGAGAGAGAGATAGATAGATATATTGATAGAGAGATAGAGAGATATATAGATATATAGATTAATAGATAGATAGAGAGAGATAGATAGAGAGAGCCGGTTATATTTCCAAAATGGACAAAAGAAAGAGACTCATGAACGTACAGGAGGCACTAGCGTTGCTAAACCGTCTGAGCGAAGCAGAGTCTGATGGTGGGGAAGTATCAGGACTGAGTGATCTGTCCTGGGTTTGTTCTGCCTCTGATGGGTCATCTGACAGCGATCCTGAGCCTCCGCGGAACGTGAGGCCGTCCCATCCTGATCCCCCGCTTGCAGATGGGCCTACTGTACCAGCCCATGCAGAAGGTATGATGATTCTTGTTTTTTATTTCCTACTTTTCTACAAATCGTAGGCTATAAGATATCAAGGCATATAGATAATGCCTTTTCTTTTTACAAATGATTTTTTCATTGCCTTTCGAGGATGTAATATTATCAAATAAACATTTATGAAACATACTTTAGTCTAAAGTAGTGTTTTCCTCTCTCCTATTTAGTGTGTGCCACTGAGCCGTCACCAGCCCAAGAGATCGGGAACGATGGCACAGTGTGGGCGGTCATGGAGCCTTGCGGAGGCGCAGGGAGACGGCAGATACAGAACATCCTCACGGAGTCTACTGGCCCCACACCACACGCACGTCACAACATTACTGACAAACTCACAGCATTTATGTGTCTGTGTGATAATGTAATGTTGGAGGAAATCCGTGATTGCACAATTGCTGAAGCGCGGAGAGACAGAGCCACCTGGGATGTCTCTATTATGGAGCTGAAGGCCTTTATTGCCCTTCTCTATGTGAGAGGTGCATATTGTGGGAAGAACATTGAGATGGAGAGTTTCTGGTCCGAGCAGTGGGGCAACGCGTTCTTCAACG